CCCTCAGGCTTGTTCTTCTCTTACATAAAAATCAAACTGTTCATATTTGAATTATTCCAATTCTATTCCCACCTATCTTGGAGACCTGATTTCCTTCTCCTTCAGACTGCTCCAGCTATATTATTTTTCAGTTCCACCTACTCTTTTTATTTCACATGTAACCGCTTCTAAATTAAAACATGTTAAATATCCTTTTTTTTCCTTCACATCAGTGCTCAAATCTCACCTGTTCATTTTTTAATCTGCTTTATTCATGCTTTTCTACACATTTTGAGGTACTTCACTTACTTACTTCTATGTTCAGTGTCTCCAAAGCAACTCTGTAGTTTTCCTCCTTTTTTCTGTTTTTGTTAACTGAAAAGGGAGTTTGACTTCTGAAATATTGTCTTTATTTCAGATGAACTAGTAGAATTTCCTGAAGAAGAACTTGAACCACTCAGAAAAGCTGCTCTATAGCTATATAATTGGTGTAAAATATGGTTGAGGGGAGTATTGTTTAAAGCCAAATTCTGAAGTGTGATGCAAAAAAATGGCCCACTGAAAAAAACAAGCATCCTAAACCAACCAAACAAAAAAACCCTTTCACTGTAAAACTGGGAAGATGAATAATGAAATTCAAGCACATTAAATATCTCCATTTTTGTTGGTATGAGTCCTTCACCAGAATTTATTTCCTCATGCCAAAAATGGGAAAGCCAATAAACAAAGTTGAGGCTGCTAATCCCTGATGAGAAAGAGGAACGTCTTTGGCTCTGCTCTGGGTTAGTTTCCCATAGTATTTTTTACAGTCTTTCCCTAACCTTTAATACTACTCTGAGTACTGGGGTTACCCTCTGAGCATGACCTCTGTTTCTTACACTGGACTACCAAAGTAAGAGATGGGAAAGAAGAGGCCAAGCTTTTGTGTTCCTCTATGTATGGTTTTTTTCCTGTGGGGTATTTGCTTATGCTAGTTATTGTGTGTGTAATTCTTCTGGTTTGAACACTGGATGCCTCAGTATTTTGTTTGAACATCTCTCAAGAAAAAAATACAGACTGGAGGAGAAAACGGGAAATGAGCAGAAGTGTGGAAATAAGTAGAGTGTTCTAGAGAAGAAAAATAAAGGTTAAGGTTTTGGGGGTTTTTTATGAGATGTGCTGAAATTGTTTGGGAGGGAAGAGAAAGTAATTGGCATAAATTGCAGGGTAGAAAAAAATTAGGTTTGAGCTGAGTCAAAAGAGCAGTAAAATCCTTGGAATGAACTGACAAAATTATGTATATCCATAGACTGCTAATCTACTGTTCTGGGAGGCTTCCATCATGTGTAACAGTGGCTTGGGAAGATAAATGGCATCACATCACAGTTTCCTTCTTGTTTTACATGCTGAGCATCATGTCCTATGGTCTGGAGCATCCCTTGGGTCAGTTGGGGTCATCTGCTGCAGCTGTGTCCCCTCCCAAATTCCTGTGCAGCCCCACCCTTTTGGTGCTCCCAGCCAAACCCAGCAGAGCTCTCACTCAGGTCCTGGAGGCACCTGATCTAACCAGAGTTTGCAGTGGATCAGACTGCCTGATTTCCAGAGGTCTCTTCCAGCCCAGAGTATTATTCCATGCTCATTCCATACAGAACAGTGCTTGCTGTGGGAGTAAGATCCTTCAGGCTTGCTTAGAAAAGGCTCTAAATTCAGGGAATTGATTCATGAGGCATGACCTTTTTGTGAGTTTTGTGAATCATGATGCAATGCAAAGCAAAACAGAAAACCTTTCAGGCTTACTGTGTGTACACACATTCACAACCCCAAGGTTTGCTCCCTTGAGGTGTCTTCCATTGTCCACCTGCTCTGACCAAGTTTATTGCCCAGCTGATGGCTCTGAGAGGTCAGGGTAAGTACAGGAGGAAGGAGAAATACACAGAACATTTAGAAAAAGGGATCTGTGGCTTTCCCAGCAGAGTAAGGGTGGATTAAATTATGCTTTGGCAAATTCTGCTGCCTTATAGATGCTATGGAACATGGAAAAAAACAGTGTAGAAATGCTCAGAGAAAAACACCTAAATATCCCTCCCATGACATCTTTTATTTCTTAGCTTATACCTTAATGCTTTAAGAGGTTAGAATATGTAAATACTCTTTAGAATGGAAACAAAGTAGAGGTTTTTAAGACTGTTTATTCTCTTCCCTTTGCCCTGTTCTATTTTGAAGTTTGACATTAGCGTCTTTTGAAAGCAAGCATATGGCATTTCTAATTAAGGCCTGAGATTTTCTGACTTATAACTGAATAATACATTTCAAACAGTGCCAAGCCTTCCAGATGAAAGACTTTTCTAGCTGAAGCACTGGAGTGTATGTGCTGTGTAACACTGGTCTCCTTTAGAATTTGGAAGGATTTTGCTGGGAATACCAGCTCAGTGAGAAATCCAGGGGTTTGATACTGTAGGCTGATGTCAGTATTCCTTGGCAAGCTCAGGTTTGGATCCAGTAAGAGCTACTGGGCTTTGTTGCTCACAGGATTCAGTGGAGCTGCATTTTGAAACGTTTTGGTCTGCTGGGGGATTTTAGTCATCTTGATCAGATTTCATTCCAGGCTGCAGGGTTTGTTTGTGTGTATTTTCAGCGTTAACTCTTGTGGAGATGTGCTGGGGTTCTTCAGTCTCTCCAAAGAAAGTCTAATCTCTTCCTTTCAGCATTTGGTGCCAAAATTTCTTCCTTTACTTTGAATACATAAAACCTTTCTGTAATTGTGGTTTGTGGTAAATTCCTGATGTGAGCTGGGTTTCTTGACTTTTCTTAATACATACCAGTATCATTATGTCTCTGAATGCCAAATGGACTCCTCTCAGAGGTTTCCTCCATTGTTTTTTTTCTTCTTTCCATGGGAAGTAGAAGGGACTGCACTTATTGTTGGTCCCTCTGACACAGTTGTGCAATTCAAGAGAGGAGAGAATTAAACAAATATAATGCATTTAGTTCCTTTTTTTTTTGTTTGTTATTGCTGTGTCTGTGTGATAAGTGAGGAAATTGGCCTTTACCCTATTTTTGGTAATTTTAAGGGGGAAGCTGAGTCTTCAAATACATTTTTTCCCTCAGGATACAATTGATTCCTTTGGTTACTGAGAAACCTGTCACTGTGATAGAAAATTTTAATTAAAATTATAAACTTGGGGGTTTTAGATCTTATTTCCATCTTTAGGTCTAGTGAATGCATGCAAAAGATTGGGAAAGCTTAAAATCAAGGTTTTTTTTAGATTTGTGATGCAGGTGGGTGCTTATTTTGTTTGGATTATTTTAAATTATTTTTAATTAATTACATTTAATGTAATGGGAAAGTATTTGAATGGAGGTTGGGCTGGTATTTGGGAACTGTAAAGCTGTGCAAACAGGTTCCAAGCTGAAGCCTTTCACCAGTGTAGTGTTCATTTTGAAACACAGTGATTTCTGATATGCTTCTCTCAGGGCAACATTTTTGCTGTTAATTGTCCTTGAAATCCACTATTTGCTGTCTTTGTCCTCACAGCTCACTGTCAAATTCAAGCACTGATATTTTATTAATGACTTGTATTTGACAACTGCTAAGAATATAAATTAGAAATCTGTAATTGAAGTGAGAATGATAAAGATGAAGTTAACAGGGTAATTGCACAAGTACTGAAGATCTTCTTCTACCTGAACTATGTTGTCAACATGAAGCTCAAGTGTTTAATGCCCCTGAGGGAATTCAGGGTATTAGATCAGCAACAAGATGTGACAGAGCAGTGTGGAAGAGAATATTGAAGGGATTTGGGGGGCAGATGTAGCTTTGGTTCTTTTTTTGTTGCATTTTAATTTCTGGAGAGAGTTCAGATCATAGGGAAGAGCAACCTTGGAGCCCTCTAACATCAAAGTGTCCATGGATTCAGCAGCCTCTGAAGGTGACAGAGAAGCTGTGGCTGCCCCATCCCTGGAAATGTTCTAGGCTGCACTGGACAGGGTTTGGAGCAACCTGGGCTGGTGGAAGGTGTCCCTGTCCATGGCAGGGGGTTGGGACTGGATGGGCTTTAAGGACCCTTCCAAGGCAAACTGTTCTGGGGTTCTGTGATGATGCTAAGAAGGGCTGTGGCTGTGTCTCTTTTTGTGTTTCCTGCTAAAGACACTGAAAGCTGGAGCCTCTCAGCATCTGGTGTTGAAGTTGCACTTGTTTACTTCTTATCAGTATTTCACTCGGATAAAACTGGAAAAAATCCAAATACCTGCAAGACCATATTTGCCTGAGGACCTGCCATATGGAGTTGGACTGTCCAGCTTACTGTGGGACACTTGGAATTCCTAATGAAAACTTGGATTGGATGGTTTTTTTGAGCATGCTATTCCCAGGCCCACATGATCCCTTCTGGGTTTGGGTGTTAGTCATATAGTAGCATATATCCCTCCCCTAAGTGTTTAATTCTTAATAATAATGAGCTTTCATTTGAAGCAATCTTCTCTGTTCCATGTACTATGGCCTTTCATGTCACAGTCTTGGGTTTTTTTCTGCTCATCCATGAGCTTACTTGAGTAGAAAAAATGCTTTTGTGGCTCAGAGGAGGCTTCCTGAGCTCAGGGTACCCAGGACAGCCCAAGGGATGTGATGGAACAAAGTAGCATTATCTACTATGCTTTAGCAGAGACTTTCCTCTATGTGAAGTCTGGAGTGTGACTTTTAGGTAACACTGTCAAATTTCATTAAATGGAGACTTGACAGCCTTGAAGCTTTTCTCACATAATGCTTTTCTAGGTCTCAGTCCTTTCTCTGGTAACACTGCTGCAAATTATTCCCTAGTTCTGTTCTTTTAAACTTTATGGTAACTTCATTAATACACTTGTTTGGTGAAGTCTGCTAAACATTCTTTATGATTCCATTCAAATTTTGTATCTTTTTATGCTTTTAAAACTGATAGATGAGAAAAATTGTCTGAGACTTGTACGTATGTATGTCTAGTGTCTGTGCTCTTGGGTAAACCTATGCATGCTTTTGTTTTCTTGTTTTTTTTTCTTTATTTTTACAGAGAGTGATAATGAACTCTCCAGTGGCACTGGTGATGTGTCAAAGGATTGTCCTGAGAAGATTTTGTATTCCTGGGGAGAGTTACTGGGGAGATGGTAATGCTTAATTTCTTACATTAGATTTTAACATTTTATTTGGTTTGTGTGCATTTTATTTGGTTTTATGTGCTCCTGAGCAGGAGGTTTGACATTCTTCAGCTTACACAGTTTAAAAACTAAAATGCAAGACACATTGAAGTGTAGTTTTTAATCTTCATTTAAAAGGGACTGGTATAGATAACTTGGGGTTTTTTTGACAAATCTTTCCTGTACTATGTGCAAAAGTCTGGTTTTGTTTGGTGTTTGAGAGTGTATTTGTATGTGCTCACACAGTAGGTATGGGTCTTCACAGGCAGAACCTTGTGGTCATTTGGGGCTGGCTGTTAAATCCTGAGGAAACTCAGTGCCAGGATGGGACAGACACAGCAACTCCCATGTGTCCCATCTAAGCCCTGCATGCCAGCTGGTGTACATTTAATTTGTTTAGAAACACTTCTTTTTCTATTTTTGTAAATGTGCTTACATATATATATATGTAAGCACTTGAAAAGGAATCTAGAAACACTGTGAATCCTCACTGAAACACTTTCTGTTGGTGTATAAAATGAAGAGTATTTGTAAGCCCAGACTATGTTCTCAACAGTGTTATTTCTGTTGTTTAATTAAGTGCTTCAGTAGCAGTGCATGGAGTGCCAAGAGAGAGAAAAGTCTGTTTGCTGCCTCAGAGAGACCTGAGCAAGTGCCAGAACCACTTACTTGCTTTTCCCTGTGTAAGCAATAGCTCCTGCTGCTGGAGACAAAAATAATCAGAGGCCCTTAATCTGGAACTGGCTGTTTGCTTTTCCTAAGGCCAGAAAAGAGAGGTGAACAGCATTTTAAGGATTTATTTGGGTAATTCCTCCCTTGACTTGGCTACTCTGCAGCTTTGGAGAAACAGCCTCTTACTGCTGACCTCATCTGTATGGGGGTCTCACACAAAGGTTTCTGCATGAGGAATCAGGAGGTTTTACTGAGCTTAATCAAACCCTCTCCTTCTGTTGTTTTTACCTATTCTGTCACCCAAGTTTCTGCCCTTAATCCAAGATCAGAAGATGCCAATTTTCAATTTAACTTTTTTTTTTTTAATTAATTTGTCAGTTGATTCTTCTGTTTCTAACCTGTGTCCTTGATAAATACCTGGACTCTGTGGATGACCATGCTGAAGTAAAAAGACACCCACAGCTCATGGTCTTAAGTTTCATGTATCCAACTGTTTCGACTGGTTACTCAAGTATACTAATCAACAGGAAAAAACATTCAAGACTTTTGGAATAAACTAATTTGGAATCCTAACATAACTTACACATAAATCAAGAGAATTGCTTAATAGTTGAAGCAGCTTAAAATTAGTTTAAAATGGGTTGAGAAATGGGAGATCCCAGCCTGTTTGAAGACTAGTAAACATTTCTTCAGGAGCGTCTCAAGCAGTATTACCTGTGGAGAGAAATCCAAATTTCTAAACTGCTTGAGTTCTTGAATAGTGTCATATTACCTTCTAAGAACAAAACTTAGAGTAACAGGTGAGAATTGGTAAGGATTTGAAAACTAAAAATATATCAAAGTAAAATCTTGTAGTGTTGTTGAAAACTGCACCATATGTTAGTAGAAGATCTTGCACTTGTAAAAATGTAAATAAACAAAAATTACATTTCCACTTGAGGAACTGGTGTGCTGATTTGTCTCTTAGATGAAAAATTTCTTGCATTTTAATTGCTTTTTGTCATTTCATTAAAATGCCACTGTAACCTATTGGACTCAGCAGAAACACTGCTCCAGGACTTTCCTTCAAGGATATAAACAGAAATAAGAAAAAGATAATGTACCAAAAAGATAGAACAAACAATGGAAAAGTGATGCTATATCTGTTTATTTTACTATTTACTGCATCCTCAGCATTAAAGTTGCTCTTGCCAGCTAAGCTGCTTTAGCTGACTGCTCAACTATTTCTTAAAACAAAGCAGTAGCAATGATCAATGACAGTCTTTGATCAGAAACATGTTTGTCAAGTTGGAGCATATTCTGTGCATTGTTGCTGCTCTGTGTCCTTGCTCTCTGTTATTTTAAAATTGTATTTATGATTTGTGCTGGAGAATTGCAACATTTTGTAACAAATTAAAGATGTCAGCATCCATGAATGGTGACTCTCCCACGTGATGAAAGGGTAAGGTTGGAGTAAGAAAAGCTTTTATTTTATGCTCACTTCTGTTGTTCTGAGCAAGGATTATGGATGAACAAGCTGATTCCCAAAGAGCCATCCAGTACTTGAAAAGTTGGCTGTGGAAGTTGGTAATGCTGTTCAGCATGGACTCATATTGCTAAAGTATTACCTCTGCCATAAAATGCAAATCTAGGACAGGGCCAGTAAAGTCTGGTTGTTTAATTCTCAGTTGGGATTATATTCAGGATGATGTTACAGCATGGTGTTAGTTGTTGCCTTGTATCGTTTCCTTGGTTTGGCTGAGAATTTCCCTGTTATGTTTTTATGGGAATGTCCCTTTTTAGCTGTTCATTTGATCAGCCCTCAGGGGAGCCCTTCTGTGTTTCTCACATAACACATATGACCAGATCCATATAATAACCAAACTAATCCACAACTAGATGTGATTCAACTTTCTGATGTATTTACTATATATCTATTCCTCAACATGCATGTCATAATTCTGTAACTGCTCAGAGTATCTGGTCATAGAATCCCTGAATAGCTTGGGTTGGAAAGGGCCTCAAGGTTTATCTCATTCCAACCCCATGTCATGGGCAGGGACACCTTCCACTGTCCCAGGTTGCTCCCAGCCCCATCCAGCCTGAGCTTGGACACTTGCAGGGATCCAGGGGCAGCCACAGCTGCTCTGGGCACCCTGTGCCAGGGCCTGCCCACACTCACACAGGAGAATTTCTCCCCAGTACCTGTGTAACGCAGCCGCTCTGTCAGTTTGAAACCATTCCCCCTTCTCCTGTCACTGTCTGTGCCTACAAAGGTTCTTTCCCTCCTTTTCATAAGCTCCTTTAAGGTACTGAAAGGCCATGATAAGGTCTCCCTGCAGCCCTTTCCTTCTCCAGGCTGAACACCCCAAGCTATCCCAAGCTGTGTCCATAGCAGAGAGGTTCCAGCCCTTGGAGCATCTCTGTGGCCACCTCTATACCAGTGCAAGTCCTTTAAGTGTTTAGTGCTTTTAATGTTTCTGTAAATATTGGTTTTCTTTCTAGCTCTTTCTCATCACAAGACTGTTAAGGTAATGTGACTGACTACAAAATGAACTGAAAAAGATAGAAGGACCTAGTTTTTATTTGGGTATCTGAGGGATGAAGATAAGGAGGAAATTACTTGTACTGCACTGTGCATTTAAAAATAAAAATAATTATTGTTTTCTTAAAGAATAAGGGTGTTATATAATCACATACTTTTTTTAGTTCTTAGGCCATTTGGAAGAATAGGGATATCATCCCCAAAGCATAGGAAAATGAAATAGGTTAGAGTATCTTTTAAATTTAAAAAGCAGTGATAACCTGTTCATGTCCTAATGACCTGTTTCATAGAATGAGTACTCTAAACATTCACTGCAAATCCAGGCTCAAATTGCAGATTATTTAATTAATCATGGCTTGCTGGCATTTGGTTAAACAGCCACTCTGACTGCTCTGCTTCCAGGAGAGCTGGGAAACACCACAGTGGTCAAAGCACTTGGAGAGCACAGCACTTCCTACAGCAGAGAGAGCCAAAAATCAGTCTGGAAATTGTCATGGGTCTGAGAGGGTTTATATCTAGATCAGCAAATATCTCCAAAAGAGCTTTGCAACATCCATGACTGAAAGCTCTGTAATATTGTGCACATGGAGTGACTTCTGTATTCCTGCATTTCTTGCTGTGTGTGTGTGTACAACCAGATAGTAAAGCACCAGCTCAGACCAACAGGCAGATTTATTTGAAATAGTAGGATTGTACAAATGTGTGTACAAGTGTTCCTGGTTTGTGGCACTTGGAACAGACTCTTGGCATGAAGTGTGGAACTAGAACTTCAGTCTTCATAACACTACTATTAAATTGTCTTTTGTTTTCCAAAATTTGTTTTTCTGTACAGCTTAAGTTATTTTAAATTTATTTTTCTGAATCTGAGCTAAATTTATATATTGAACAAATATTTAAATTGAATAGTCTGCACAGATGGCATATTTTTCTCTTTCAATTCAAATTGTTCTTTATTAGCCAGCTTAGTTTAATTTCTGCAAGTGCTTATTGTTAATTTTCCTTAATCTCTCCCCACCTAGAGAATTTGGATGTCACTACATTTTGCCACTGGTTCTTACTGTAAATCCTTGCAGAGTTTTTGCTTTCCATCTGACAAACACTAACTACTGTAACCAGTGGAAGAAAAGTTTGTGTTGCCTATTGCTGACTCTGCTTTAGTGAATAACTTTAAAGATTTTTAATGTTTTTAATCTTTCTTTTTACCCCTGTAGTTGAAGTATAACAGGTAAATGATCATCTTTGTTTCAGGCACAATAACCTTGTTGTGAGACCAAATGGGCTGTCCACTCTGGTGAAGAGTGGTGTTCCAGAAGCACTGAGGGCAGAGATCTGGCAGCTGCTGGCTGGATGCCATGACAACCAGGCAATGCTGGACAAATACAGGTTGCTCATCACAATGGTAAGGGATTTATTGTTTGTTCTTGCCTTCTTTTACTCACTCTTCTTTTCTTTGATTGAGATGAGTTCTGCTGGGCAGCAGTTTTAGTCAGTGGCAGGGCAGCAGAAGAATGAAGCAGTTTGACTTGTTTTAAACAACTGAAATTATGATTATGTGACTTTACCTCCTGCCATGGGTACTGCTGCATGGCATTAGCAATAGAAATTGCTGAACTATATCTGTAGTAATGCTTGACATTTAGCTTTCTGTTCTCTTGCTGTGATGATGATAAGAACATCACCTTGTTTAGGTGTTTGCTTGTGGGTTTTTTAATAAACTCACATCCATCACTTTGTTTTTTCAAAAGCTTGTTTAAGTATGTCTTCATTTTAAGGGTTTCAATTCTTAAAAAACCTCAAACAAAATGGCACAAAATTGAGTATTTCTTCCTTCTGTTGTTTATTTTTAAAAAGAATGTTAAAAACATTTGGACCTAGCTGGAAACCAATCTCCCTGCTGTATGGGTGAGCAGAGAGGAGAATCCTTTTAGGAATCAATCCCATCAGTGCAGTCAATGAGCTTTCTAAGAAGTCTGTGGAGCTGTTTGGTGTGTGATGGCACAAGGGAGGAGCTCTGTGCAGTGTCAGAGATAATCTCAGTGTTTGGGTTCTGAGGCTCTGCCCCTGCAGGGCTGTCACAGCTCTGGGAAGTGCAGCAGTCTCAGATACTCTTTAATGGCAGAAATGGATGGAGATCATTTCCTCTGCTGCTCAGAGCAAGTGCTGGCTTTCTTACCTGCCTTATCAATTACCTGTCCACACAGAAATTCTGGGGTAGATGCTGTTACTCAGAGTTTCCTTTCCTAATGTTTTCATATTGTTTTGCTACTTGTCCTCTTAATTTGACATAATTAATTATGCTTGTGAAGTTTAGAAGCATCCCCAGCGTGAGAGCTGTCCTGGTGTGGCTACTTTTTTCTTTACCAAGAAGGAAGAATGTTTTGCTAGTGTAAATTTTTCATTTTGATGTTGTAGCTGTGTTATATTTTCCTTAGAAACCATTCACAGGACATCTGTCATCTGTATGGTGCATCAAAGCCACCTCCATTATTTGTTCCTGCTTTCCAAAAGTGGGAGAGACGTTTGTTTCAGGGTGGAGGAGGGAGTGGAAAACTTCTAAAATGCAATGTTTATCTTGGTGCTGAGGCCTTGTGCCTTAAAAATACCTTGTAACACTTGGCCTTTTCACTACAGAGATATTGCAGTGATGTGTATTTTGGAAGATGGTATTTCATACAGTATTTAATATGAAATACTGCACTGTTACTGATGAAAAATTGAAATCCTCTGCTGAACGGAAGCATTTATGCAAACAGGGTTTTTTTCTAAAGTGAATAATTTTCCTTCTGAAGTGACAAAACTTCTGTAGTTTGTCTGTCTAAACTGCTGGCAATCACATCATTTGGCAGTGAAAGACTCTTGAAAGGAATGAACAGGAGAGAGCCTGTGCCATACCAAAGGTAGGGCCCATCTTTGGGAAGAGTTAATATGGGATGCTCCAGAAAAAGTGTCAGCTGATTTTTTTTTAATGAATTATTGTCTGATATTTATGTCTGTGAACAGAACTTTTCAGTTTCATTTTGGTGTGTCAGTAATGTGAATTAAGCAGAGATAGTAGTAGAATATGTATTTTAGTAGTATATACTACTAAAATCTTGGTTGTATGTATTTCAGTAATAACCTAATAATAATTTAATAATGTTAAGCTTCAGAGTTATATGGGTATTAATGACTGTTCACTTTCTTCTCCTGTATGAGAAAGCAGAACTGATTTCTTTTATCTGCATTTTTGTTATGTCAATATACCAACAACACAAACTTTATTTTTTCCACAATTATTTAATCTTCCTATCAGATCCATCGTTTTCATCTTGATTCTTTCAGTTTATGTATATGTTTGTACATATTCATTGTCTCCTTGTGTCTCCTTTGGTCATTCTGCTTGATGTTTCTCTTCTGGAAGCTGGATGTATTTGTGGGTGCCTTGATTATTTCAGCAATATATTCCTTGAACATATGTGTTCCTGAGCCAATCCCAGGGGAGTGGGGAGAGCTGGTGATGCTCTGCACTTGAAGTCCTGGCAGTGAAGTGGGCTCAATACCAGAAGAAGGAGGTGGTACAAACATCTGTGTACTTGCACCATTGCCTACTGACACCCCACAATCCCCCAGAACCTCTCTCTCCTCAAAGAGCTCCCCATTGCTGCCAGTCCCTGGAGCAGTCCCTGAGGTTCTGTCCCATGGTATCAGATCCTTCCTCTGAGCCTGCTCTCCCAGCCCTTCCCTGCTCGTCCAGCCTGACCTGCACCCCTGGGTTAAATTGATAATTGTGAGAAACAGGGCAGTGGAGACCAGTAGAAAAATCTCTGCCATGAATCTGTCACAGCTTGAAAGATGAACTCAATACTTGGAATTATGAATACTGAAAACCTGATTTATGGTTGCCTCTACTGGTGACAGAGCGAAATCTGGTAAAAACTCTGATTTTACTACAGTGTTACTGGTGAACTTCTGGTGAAACTGTGCTCACTGGTGAGAGTTGTGTTGTTGGCAGGCCAAAAATGTGTGCCTTGTGATACTCTGAGTGACAGCAGACTCTCAGCATTTAAATTTAGTTGAGAGACCATGGTATAGACACATTAGCTGTTCTGTTCCAGTCTTGTGCAGCAGTGCTGTGTTAGATTGGCCAGCTATCAGTCCCATCACCTAAGAAATCTGCCTGTGCTTTTATCCTGTATTTATCCATCTGTATGCAAAGTTCTGGAACCTGCTGCAGGGTTTCTCAGCTACAGGAGTGCTTGGTTCAGTGTGTTCTGTAGGAGAGGGTAATTTGGGGCTTGTTTTAGAATCTCAATTCAGCACTGAAAGCAAAATAAAATGTCTCCTTTAGAAAAGTCAATGCTGCACTTATTTTCTCCAAAAGGCCTCCATGTCCTCTAGTCCAGAAGTCTGTCAGGAATGATCTGGTGAGCTGTGTTCCCTCTTCCCTAGATTAGAGCATTCATTTTCAATCTCTAGGTGAGTTTGGAGTTCCAGGAGGGAAGGGAGAAAGAAATCCTTGTGTTCTCACAAGTACTGACAAGCACTCTCTTAGGTCTCCTGCTGAGTTCCAGCTTGATGATTACCATGAGCTGCTCAGGAATTTTGACTGGAGCACAATAATAGGCCTTGCATACAATTTTAGAGAGTGGGAGTTGTGATTTGGCAGCTGTTTCATTTCTGACATATATGTAAATGTGTTCTGTATGACAATCAAAATCTGCCTTACTTCCCTTGCCACGGGCTCTTCACAGTGCTGCACGTGGCACCTGACAGGAAGGGGGGAAGTCAAATATACATCAGTAGGGATAAACATGTGTTTTATTTATGTAATTATTGCAAGGAAAATAAAATCAGAGGGAGAAAAATCTGCTTGTGATAATGGAGAGGTAATACTGTACTTAAAGAGCTTTTGTAAAAGCATGTCTGATCTGTTTGTTAAAGAATATAGAAAAATGTGCACGAGCTGAGGTCAATTCATTGACAGTGTTTTCTCCTGCATTCTTGGCATTATTTCATCTTCACTGGTTCCTCTCCAGAGACTGGAATGAATTTTTCCATGATGAGTGTATTCAGAGCTCTGATAAACTGGTGGCTGCCAAGCCCCAGTGTAGCCTGTTAATGACTGGAGTGAGTGGTGATTGTCTGCTGCAGGAGTCAAGGATGGTGCTCCCCTTGCCCCAGTGTGTTCTTGTCAGAGCAGGTGTCAGGCACTGTCACTGTGTGCATGAGGAGAAATTTGCTGTCACATGATGGCAGTGTTATAAATAAGAAGCTTGACTAGGCCAATATTCAAGCAGCAATCAATTTATTAATTAATATGGTAAAGTATGAGCAATACAGAGCTGGGTACAGTGGGGGAAGTTTTCACTCCAACTGCACACTGATAGTTGAGGCTCACAGGTATTTATAGGGGTACTCATAAACTTTCTCAGCAATTTCTATTCCAAGTTTTACTCATCAGCAGTTTCTATTCCCAATTTTTATGTCCCAATTCTATACACTACTGTGATTTAGTTTTTCTCAGGATGTATCCCTAAAGGAGTATCCCCAGATGGTGCTGGTCTGGTTTCCAAAAGAAGAAAGACGAATCCCATCTGGTGGAGTCCAGCTCCCCAGATGTGGGTCCACCTTTTAATTACAAGGACTATTAAATCTCAAACAGTGATGTCCAGCTTCCCTTGGTTGAAACTATAAATCCTTGAGTTGAGTTCATCTTCCTTTCTCAAGCTGCTTTTCTCTGTTTTGTTAAGGTGTGAGATAAGCTTGTTTCCTTTATATATATTCCAAAGCTAGAGTTTCAAGGATACAAGCAATATTCTAAAATTATACTTCAAAAGGTTATTATTGCAAAACTCTTTAAGGCTTAGCTACAAGCAAAGAGCAACATCCTTAACGCTTTAATTCCAATGCTCCTAAATCAACTAAGGTTAATTGCAAACAAAAGATAGGTTCAAAGGCCTTCTTCCATGCTTTACTTTCCTCAGTTATTAGTAGAATTCATCTTTATAACTGTCCCATGGTCGGTCTCCACACGTATCACAATCACAAATACACACATTGCCTGTGTGTACCTGACACCAAACACAGCTTTGTATTTCACAGCAGTGATGCGGCAACTTAGCCTGAAATACTTGTTGCATCTGCATGGGGACAGATTTTTTTTATTGTCTCTTACACTGCTTATTATCAGAGTTTTGCTTCTCTGTTTGAGATGGTTTCATTCGTGGAGAAATTCTCACTGCTGAATTTCGAGGGTGAGACTTGTTTCCTGTCAGGGCTGAGTGTAGTAGTGTAAGTAAAATGAGAACAGGAACAGGAGGCTGTCACTCATCTTCTGTAGTTTGAAAACCTTTGGGTGGACTGTTTTAAGGTAGCATTTCTGGTTCTAAACTGTATGATTTATTCATAAAAGACTTCCAG